GCCACCCACCACTCCACATGAGTCGGTGCTACATTTTAGAGCAAGCTGCAAATATCTTCCCACACATACTTTGTGGGCATTTTATTAACTCAAGGTCAAGATTTGCTTTATTCATAAAAAATGTATTAAAAACATTTTTTTTCCTATTTGCTAGGTGGCACATGCCTATAATCCCAGCACCCTAGAAGGCTGAGGTAGGAGGATAAAAAGTTCAAATTCAACCTGGGCAATTTAGCAATTTAGTGAGACCCTGTCTCAAAATAAAAAATAAAAAAGAGTTAAAGATGTTGCACAGTGTGAAGGTCATGGGTTTGATTCCCAGTACTCATAAAACAAGATATAAAATTAAATGGTAAAGTTAAAATAAAATTCTTTTTTTCCCCCTTTTTTCTGCAAACCAATTTTATTCCAAGGATGAAAAGAAAAAAAAGAAGAAATAAAAAATAAAATAAAATTCTGCCAAGGGCACGCCTGTAATCCCAGAACTCAGGAGACTGAAGCAGGATTGAGAGTTTGAGGCCAGCCTGGGCTCTGTAGCAACCCTAGCTCAAAAAACTAAACAGGGGATTCTTTGCTAATAACAATCCAGGATAGTAGGTAAGAGCCAGAATCTGTTGATAATTTTAGGTTAAGACCCTCATCTCTCAAGGGAATGCCTGATAATTGAAAGACCCCTGGGAGGATCCTTATGTTCCAAATGAGGGTAGGTTGATGGCTGTGTGATGTTGGGCTGTCATATCCCAGCCTCAATTTCGTCATCTCTAAAATGGGCTTAAGAAAAGCATGGCTCCTTAGTGCTGTGGTGGGAACAGCCTGGTGCACCGTAAGGGCTCAGCAGTGATGGCTATGCTGTTACGTGTGTGGCAGTGTGTAGTTCTTTCACAGAACCCCTTGACTGTGTGGCATGGTTCCTCTCTGGAGCCAGGAACATACTTCCGCCTGGCGGAGTGGGGAACAGGCAGATTGAGGATGAAGCCAGGCCCATAACTCCTGTTGTGGGCCAGGTCTTCTTTGGAGCAGGTAGCAGGAAAGTCCCCTCCAAGGGCTTCAACCCAGCTCAGAAGCTGGGACCCAAAGCCTGAACAAAGGTTTGCTCCAGCCCAGAGGCGGGTGAGCACCATATAAAGGGGGGTGACCTTCCAGGAGGGAAGCCTGCCCAGCATGACCCCCGCTGTCTGCTTGGATCTGTGACTTAAAATGCCAAGTTTGCAACTCCTGGAGCTGCTGGACCACTGTGGCCGCTGAATGCTTTGCAGGTGGCTTCCCAGAGCTGCACACTGGTTAGCACAGAAGAGGCTGTGGGCCTGTGGGGAGGCCCTAGCTAGAGATGAAATGCTGCAGCACAGCCATCACTGGCCCACAGAGGACTTTTAGGTCTCTTTTGTTTACTTGTTTTAGAATTGAATTCATTGCCAATATTTTTTAAAATGTAGAGAACATACTTTAAATTATCTTGAAAGATCAGATCTGGCAACACTGGGCTCACGTCCCGTGTGACAAAGCATTGGCTGACAGTGATTGAGCCAAGCAGCTACCTGAAGGCCAATTTGTCACCGTTATTCCAGGGTTTCCTGCCTGGCCACTATTGGCATCTGAGCCTGACCTCCCTGGCCTGGTTGGTAACATGGACACACACCCCAGGAGCTATGATGGAGTGCAGTGAATAGCTGTGGACAGTGGTTATCAACAGCAGCGTGTGATCGCCACAGGGGACTCTGGCCTCGGTGGAAGACACTTTTTAGTTGTCATACCTTGAAGAGCATGCTACTGGCCTCTAGTGGGTGGAGGTCAGGGATACTGCTCAACATCCTACAATGCACAGGAAGCATTCCCCTCCCACAGACATCATCCAGCCCCAACTGAATAGGACTAGGGATGAGAAATCGTGGGTTAGATCATCACCAGACTGGTCTAGAAGGCAAGGCAGGAATTAATTCCAGCTATGGAGCTCAAGACCAGCTCCCTGGAGAGAAGGCGTCAGGTTGGTGGGCAGATACTTGATGGCTGAGTCAGCTTTCAACTTGAGAGATCTGCAAAGTGCCGGGCTTAGGGGAAAAGCATGAGTGAAGACCCAAAGGCACCTGATGGTCAGGGAAAGGGGCAATAGGATGGGCAGGAAGATGGAGCCTAGAAGGTGAAGTGAAGCTTGGGGCCAGGTGGAGGAGGGTTTGAATTCTGGTTCTACCACTTACCAGCCATGTGGTGGCACACTTCCCATGGGTCTAACCCTCAGTTTCACTGTCTGTAAAATGGGGATAAAAATGAGATTATATAGGCACCACCTGATCAATCCCCACTCCCCCCTTTCTAGTCTGTGTCCTAGCCATTCTGAAATACGAGCCATTTATTAAACGCTGCCAGCTCTCTCTGGGAGCCCTCTGCAAAAAGTTCCTTCAACCTGGAATATTCACTCTGTGGTATGGATCACATAAAAGGTTCTAAACCCAGTGCCATAGGCTCCCACTTGAGATTTGGAGAGCCCACTCTGCCGCATGGTGGTGTGGCATGGTGCGTGTGGTACCATGCAATTAGGAGAAGCATGTTTGGAGGACCAGAGAAGAGTGGGGACTCCCTGGGAGCCTCTGCTGCATTCCATCTCCTTTCCTTCCACTCTGCTGGCCTTAGGTGCTGACAGTGACCCCCAAGCATGACAGGGACGGCTTCTTCTTGGCAATGTCCTGCTCCCTTCTCAGCCCAGGACCCTCGTTACTCTATAGCACAGGGTCAAAGTGTAAAGGCCAAGACCCCAGAGAGGCTATAGCCAGAGAGGCCACAGGCCATGAGACTCAATTTCCTCAACTGTGTGGAACAGTCTATTTATTTATCTGTTTGTTTGTTTGTTTGAGATAGGGTCTCATTATGTAGTTCAGGCTGGCCTTGAATTCATAGCCTAGGTTGGCCTCCAACTCATGGCTATCCTCCTGCCTCAGCCTCCTAAGGGCTGGGATTACAGATTTGTGCTGCCATGCCTGGCTTGGTAAAACAGTTCTCATAGTGTCTGTGGTGTAGAGGATATGCCCAATAAGTTCTTAGACAACACCTGGCTCCATAGGTTTTAGTTACTCTTGCTGCATTCTCCACTGATGCCTGATACTATAGAGCCCCTGTGAGGACAGTCTCCCTTCAGAACTGTTCTTGGCTTTAAGGATTGCTGGTTTGGGATTTATGGGTTTGGCTGATTAAAGACATCCAATTTTGGGGGAGAAATTTCCAAGAATTTAATTTAAAGATGTGTACAAGGCCCGGGGATTTAGCTCAGCGGCATAAGTGCCTGCCTGGCAAGCACAAGGTTGTGAGTTCAATCCCCAGTACAAAAATAAAATAAAGATGTGCACCAAGGGGCTGGGAATTTAGCTCAGCAGCATAAGCACCTGCCTTGTGAGCAGGCGGTCGTGAGTTCAATCCCTGGTACCGGTAAAAAAAAAAAAAAAAAAAAAAAGATGTGCACCAACATTTAGCTGTAGTCATTATTTGCGAGGCAGGTGCTTATGGCGCTGAGCTACATCCCCAGCCCAGTCATTATTTGTAAAATGAAAAATTGGAAATAGCTATAATGTCCATCATTGGATATTGGTTAAACATGTGATAAGACAAATAGAATATTATCAGTCATTCAAGAAGAAGCAGGTGAATATTATTGGTGTGTAAAGATGTTCATAATTAATTGGAAACATATATAAGACAATGTATATCAAAAGAATATAGACCTGGGGATATAGTTCAGTGGCATAAGTGTCCACCTAGCAAGCACAAGGTCCTGACTTCAATTCTCAGTACAAAAATAAAAAAACAATAAAGATGGCAAAGGCAGGAGGGTTGCTGTGAATTCAAGGTCAGCCCGAATTGCATATTGAGGTCCTGTCCAAAAAGCAAAACAAAAAAGCATATAGCTGGGCATGGTGGTATATGCTTGGAATACCAACACTTGGGAGGCTGAGGCCACAAAACAAAACAAATATACACCGGGTGTGGTGGTGCATCCCTATAATCCCAGCATTTGGGAGGCTGAAGTAGGAGCACTGGTGTAAATTTGAGACCAGTCTGGACTACATAGTGAGTTCAGGGCCAGTTTGAAAAAATAAAAAGGAAACAAAACAAAGGAAGAAAACAAAATATATAGATAACCAGAGATGGCTGTGCATGCCTGGAATCCCAGGATTTTGGAAGGCTAAGACAGGAGGATTGCAAGGCAGAATTGAGGTGTAGCAATTTAGCCAGATCGTCTCTCAAAAAACAAAACAGGGCTAGAAATGTAGCTCAGTGTGAAAGCCTTGAGTTCAAATCACAATAAATGAGTGTGTGTTTGTGTGTGTGTGTGTGTGTGTGTGTGTGTGTGCGCGCGCGCGCGCGCGTGTGTCTGTACGTGTATGTAACTTTTTTGGAGACAGACTCATTATGCAGTTCAGGCTGGCCTTGAACTCACTAACTAGCCCAGGTTGGCCTTGAACTGGTGGTGCCCCTCCTGCCACAGCCTCTTGCAACCATGCCTGTTATAGCTATCTTTGAGTACTTTTTAATACTAATATTTTATTCTAGATTTTTAAATTAGCACATAACAATTGTATATATTTTTGGGAAACGATATGACGTTTTGATACGTGGGTACTTTGTGTTATGATCAAATCACGGCAATCACCATATCCAGCAGCTCATACAATTATCTTTTCCTCATTCAAATTCTTCACTCACAATATGCATAGATTCTTCATTCATCTCAGTATTTACTAATTTCAGAGTAGTGAACTGCAAGACTAATCACATTCTCCAGGTGACGTGCGCGCATGGCAAATTAAAAGATCTGTTGAAAGAGGAAATTCTTCATCTTTTTGTTTTCACTTATTTTAATTCCAGTTACTCATAGTTTGGGGGCGTTTATTTACTTTTATATACGCATGCGCAGTTCTAGAGGTTAAAAAACATGGCGGCCTAGCAGTCCCGCCTTCCAACGCAAGGCATTGGTCAGATACATCAGCGAGTTCTTGATTGGTGACTGTCCGCCAAACCCCGCAGCCTATCAAAGTTGGCGGGAAAACGGCAGTGGAGTAGAATGGCAGCAACTACTGACTCAACCCGCAGAGGCGCGGCTGCTGTGAGACTGCCGCGGTCTCCGCCGCTCAAGGTACTGGCGAAGCAGCTGCGATGCGACGTGGAGGGCGCCCCAGGCGCGTGGCGGCTGTCGCGGGCAGCGGCTGGCCTCAGGCCGCTGGAGCTGGCTGCCGTATGGATGCAGGGTACCTTGGTGGCGGCGGGCAGCGGCGAGGCACGGCTGCGGGACCCGAGCGGTTCCTTCTCGGTGTGCGGTCTGGAGCGGGTGCCGCGTGGACGGCCCTGCCTGGTCCCAGGTAACTTACCGCCGGCCCTCGGAGGAGGGTCCGGACCCTGCCTGGGGGCTGTCACACCCGGGGGGCGGGGCCTGCCTGTCACCTTTGGTCTTTTCAAGACCCGTGACCCCAAGCTCTCCGATGATGGGCGTGGGCGTCACCTGCAACCTGCAAAAAGAAACATGGGTTCCTGGGACTCCGAGGGTCCCCTAGTTCTTTTGTGTGTGTGTGTGTGTGTGTGTGTGTGTGTGTGTGTCTTTTACCTTTTTATCGGTACCAGGGATTGAACTCACGACTGCCCTCTTGCAAGGCAGGCGCTTATGCCGCTGAGCTAAATCCCCTGCCCCGGTCCCCTAGTTCTTATTCCTTGTTTTCTGTATTTGTCACAAGCTCCCTCCCTACGGTTTTCATTTTTCCCCATTACATTTTGGGACATACTGTCAGAGGAGACGCCTGTGTATCTTTAATATCCCAATTTAAGCGCATCTTCCTCGGGAAAGGATACTGGGAGCCCTGAGAAAAGGGAACCCTCTTGCTCCTCTCCTTCCACAAACTTAGTTCACTTGTGCCTCTCCTGCTAAACAGCTGGTGTTGAGACCTGAGCACATCAGGCTCACTCAGGGTACATAAAAAAGCCCAGGCTGCTGGGCCCTCCTCAGGGTTTCTGTGTCCAGGGTCTAGGAGAGGATGAGAGGGTGTGTTTCCAGTCCGCTCCTGGGGATGTGGTGCTGCCCTTGGGTTCACCCTTTGAGCTGCAGGGCTCTTGGCTATGATTCTAACAGCACTGATTTGGCATCTGGACCAGAACCTGACTCAGGCTTTCAAGAACCCAGGGATCGAGCACCAGGATCTCATCTCCCTCATTCCCTGTCCAGTATGAGACATCTGGGCTGCAGCCAACACCCGGAGAGATAAGGCCTGTCAGGAAGACATCCTGGGAGGATGACTGACGCTTGTGGAAGCACAACGCAGTCTGGGAGGCTGCTCCAGGAAATGAGGGCTAAGGTTAGGAAGTCTAAAGAATCCATAGGTTTTTCTTCTTTGTGACTCCCTTTCCTGTGAACTCAGGCCAGGTCACTTTATCTCCCCCGGGCCCTTTCTATTTAGAATGTTGTAGAGTCAGGATAGGCCAATGATCTGGGCGGGATGGCTTAGGTGGAGTTCCTGGCCCCACATCTTCCCTGCTGATGCTGGCTGGAACGCTTTTAACCTTTGTGGGTGTGCACTCCCACGAAGGAGTAATTCCTGCCTGTTGCGTGGATTCCATAGGTAAACAATGGTCCTGACATTGCTCACACCAGGGTTCAGACATGTGGCTGTTTATGGCTCCCTCCACATTGCCACCTTTGCCCTTGGCTCCAGCCCAGAATTGACAAATGACAGGCTGATGCCTCTTTTCACGTGGCCTGCAAACTGAAATGGTTTTCACATCTTTAAATAGCTGGGGGGAAAAATCATGGCTTATGAAAACTCAATAGAATTCAAATGTTAATGCCCATAAGTGAAGTTTTACTGGGACCATTCATAACATACAGGGTTGTGTCCCATTATAACAACAGTCAGTAGTTCAGCAGAGACCCTACCCCCTACAAAGCTTAGAATACTGACTTTAAAGAAAAAGTTGGATTTAGCTTTGCCCTCAAACATAATCCGTACTGCTTGATGTCTTGGCACCCAGGCAGAGACCCTTGAAGGTGAGCTTGGGCCATTCCCCAAGTCATCTCCCTGCTCGCATAAACCTGGTGACTAACAGATACCTTAGTGTTTGGCCAAATGGGCCCTCATGCTCACCGATAGAGGCCATGTCATATCTCCTGCTAATTAATGCCAAATCTGGTTTTATCAATCTGAGTCATTTCTTCAGGCATGGAGCCAGGGGAGTGAACAGGTCACAGTGACGCGAAGACTGTTGTAGGCATGAGCCCAGGGCACCGTGGAAGGACAACTCTTCTCATTTTCAGGGAGTACTCACGTTGTCTCCTCATAGAGTCAGGAGAGTGGCAGTTTCAGTGTTTGTGCAGTGCTTAGGAAAGTCCCACACCACAGAAGTGCATGGTGACTTGGCCACTGCTAACCTCTCAGGGTTGCTTATGTTCTCATCTACCTCTTCTCCTCTTCTGGTGTTTATTTGGCAGAAAGTGGCACAACAAGGGGACAACTGGCCCAGCTCAGCAGTTAGGAATGGCTTCCTGGGGACGGCTTCCTTCCCTTGAAGTACATACTGGCATTGTCTGTAGGGACCACCTCTTGTGGATTGCACAGGACTGAGAGTGCCCTGGGATGCAGAAATTTCACTGTTAGAACTGGGACAGTTGGTCACCCTGTGTCTGTGTCCAGTGACAGAAGACCAGCCAGTTCCGCGGAACAGCAAGGTCCCATGGCATCTGGCACGCCACTGGTGGGGCAGCGGTGAAAGGTGCATGGGAGGTCCCACCACGGTGAGCCCTTGTAGCTGTTAGTGGAAGGCCCTGCCTGCTGGATGGTGACCTTGATGCTCACCCTATTGGTGCTGCTCTGTCTCTGGAGCACCTAGCAGTTTCTCTTTAGAGCGGTGGAGTGCTGAAGATGCAGTCTAGTCAGAAGTTCCCCCACCCTCCAGCTACCCTTGTCTATGGAAGGAGCAAAGGGACAGTCCACTTAGACTGCACTAGGTGGCAAAGCTCAGAGGCAGAAGCTGCCCTTTCCGGGGTCTTTGTGTGTATGTGTGTGGTACCCTGGGCCTTCACACTGAGGTCCATTTTTTATTTTTTACTTTAAAACAGGGCCTTGCTCAGTTACTAAATTGGTCAGGCTGGGCTCTAACCTGCAGTCCTCCTGCCTCAGCCTCCCAGTCCTTCACTTCCTGAGGGTTCTGTCTCTATTAGACAAACTTTAGGGCCATTGACAGAATATGGCAAGTGTGTTTTTAGAACTACTGTGTCTCTGTCACTGAGGCACTGGAGAGAAATCTGGAGATGGTCTCACAAAGCCCTAAATGCCTCCTGCCCGGGGTAGAACACCAGAGGGTGTCAGGGACAGCTTGCCTAGCATCTCTCAGCCAAAGCCTGGGCTCTCTCAGCCCTGACGTTGGAAGTGGGGCATGCAGAAGCTGGCAGCCTGCCTGTCCCTCTTGCAGTGTTTGGGGAATTTTTTTTTTATATACAATTACATTTTGTGTGGTTTGAGACTGGCCAAGTTTTGCTTTCAAGGAGAGTCACTTCCCCAATGGAGTGGGAAGAGGATGGTGGTTAATATGGCATTAGGTCACCCTTGTGGAAGCTTGGTCTTTATTGATTTGCTTGTGTGTGCTCAGAGGTGGTCGGATATAGATGGAGGTGGCAGGGATTGGTCCTGGCGGATTGGAACAGTGTAGCCCTGTGTGGCTGTGTGTGCTGATGACTGCCCAACTTTTTTTGGCTACATTGAGGGAAAATTGGATTTGCTTTACAGCTGACTAGGAGTGGCTTGGCAGAAAAAGAACCCGTCCTGTGCACAGCAACCAGTCAGACACTCTGTGGTGTTGAGCAAAGAAAGGACCTAGAGAACTGCTTAGAGTTTGGACCCCTGCTTGGGGCAGTCTGTCTAATTATAACCCACTCTGTTGTAGATTTGTCTCCATTCCTTGGGCATGATAATAATAACATTGTGCATGATAGTTCTGTTTAACATATTAAAACCAGAAATCAAAGAAGATATGGAAGATGTCATTTCCGAGGTTAAATAATGAACTCATTCATACATATGAATATTCTATCACTATCTGCCTTTGTTTTGGTATCTACTATCCAAGTTTTAATTGAATTAGTTAATTTATTTTGTGTGGCATTAGGGGTGGAAACCAGGGCCCCTCCTATATCAGACAAGTGCTGTGTACACCACTGAGCTATACTTCCAGCTCTGGAAGGTTTTTTTCTGTCTCTGATCTCCTTCTTGATCAAGTTCAGCTCTGATAAACGATGGCTGAGGGCTGTCCCTGGGACCCCAGGTTCCGTTCAACATTACCATGGGCTTTTCTCCTTTTCCTAGGAAAGTACGTGATGGTGATGGGAGTGGTGCAGGCCTGTAGCCCGGAGCCATGCCTTCAGGCTGTGAAGATCACAGATCTTTCTGATAATCCCATCCACGAAAGCATGTGGGAACTGGAAGTGGAAGATTTACACAGGAACATTCCTTAGATGACACTGGGACTCTCATTAAAAACAACCTTCACTCTGAAATGATCTCATTCTGATGGTGTGGATTTCACAGACATCACTCGTGTATTTTATTGGTATTGTATATTTCTCAAAAACTTCTCGGAGGGAATTGCTTGTTTGACGCAGGCATCTGGATGCAGGGATTTTTAAGTGTTAGGAGGCTTCAGTTAACTCAGCCTCCACTGCCCCTTGCTTTGACTGTGTTAGCTGATGAAAAGCAGATGCTGTGTGGCTTTTTCCTTCCATTTATGTGTGTTAATTTCTGTCTAAAGTACACAGAAGTGTCATGTTGCATTTTCCAAATTTTACGAGTGATGATTCTTTTTCCATTATGGCTTCATCTCTGTCTTACAATGTAAAACTTGAATCTCAGTCAGTGTCCATGGTGATTAAAGTGTCGTTAGGGCCAGGGCAATGGCCTGAGTGGAAAAGGAATGATGTCATGGCTCTTGTCTGTCCAATGACAACTTCCAGCCCTAGGGTCTTTACACTAAGCTCTATCCCCAGCCTTTTTTATGTTTTATTTTGAGACACGGTCTCTCTAAGTCACCATGTTACCCAAGCTGGGCTTGCACTTATCCTCCTGCATCAGCCTCCCAGAGCGCCTGGCACCACCATGCCTGGCACATCCAGCTCTCTTTCTGCTTCAGACACCACCAAATATTTAGCAACCATTTTATTTCGATATCCTCCTTTATGGGAAGGGAGAGGCAGTTTGAGATGTTTTCAGAATTTCTCTTTGAAATTGAAAAACCGAAACTGAGAACAATTATTATTTTACCTAGACTTCTGTTTGATACCTTCATTAAAACACAGCAAGGGTTAGGTCTCCTGGTTTAGAATTCTTACAGCTTTGTATGTGGAATGAATTGTATAATGATTGTTTTGAATGTTGGATTTCTGCTCCTTCTTTGTTACACATGCTGGATTTGTCTTTAGAAAACCAAGGATTTACACATGCTGGATTTGTCTTTAGATTATGAATACCAAGGAAGTCATGTCATATTCCAATACAGTAGAGTTTTGTCTGAATGATTGATATGGTACCACTAGTAAATTTTTTATCACTAATAAATTTTTATATGCTTCTTTTAAAAAATAAATTTTACTTTTAAAAATAGTTTTGGGTTTGTGGGAACACTGAGCGAAAGTATATATACCTCCCACATGCCTGGTACTCCTGGTTTCTATTACTAACATCTGTTATTGTGATACATTTGTTACCACTGATGGTCATTTGATTACACTGTTACATTGATACATTCTTATCAGCTAGAGTTCACACAGGGTTTTTTGCCAGTAGGGTGGGTTTTTTTATACACTTTTTTTTTCTTTTTTCTTTTTATCAGTACCAGGGATCGAACTCACGACTGCCTGCTTGTAAGACAGGTGCTTATGCCCCTGAGCTAAATCCCCAGCCCCAGTTGGGTGGGTTTTACAAATGTATAATAATCAATCTCATAAAATCGTCCATGTTCCCTCTGTTATCACCCCCCAACCACTGATCTATTTCCTGTTTTGCCTTTTGCAGACGTTCATATTGTATATGGCTTTTACAGCCCTGGCTGTTTTTCACTTATGCATTTAAAGTTCCTCCATGTCTTTTTGCAGCTTGGTAGCTCATTTCTTTTTGTCACCAAAGATGATGCTCCATTGTATGCATGTACACCATTTGTTCATCCAGACCACATGATGGGGGCATCTCGATTGATCCCAGTATTTGAGCATCATGAAAGGAGTTGTTGTACAGTTTTGGGTGGACAGAAGTTTTCTCATCAAGATACGTGCCTGGGAGCACCCCTGCTGGTTCATGGGGCAAGTCTGCAGTTAGTGTTCTAAGAAAGCACCAGTCTTCCAAAGTGAGTGTATTGTGCATTGCAGTGTGTGAGTTGTCGGCTGCATTTGCTGATATTTTAAATTTTCTATGTTTTTAAAACTACCAATGTTTTCTTTTAAAGATAGGGAAAAGTGGAAATTGCATTGTTTTTATTACTGATCTGGGCTTATTGACTGCTGGAAGCTTGTTTTGAGCTGGTTTATGTCACAGTGTGAAGTTTTTCAAGCAATATTGCTGCACTTTAATGGAGAGTTAGAGCCCTATAGATCTGAATTTGAACCCTTCACCTGTTGCTAAATTCGCTGTATAGCCATGGGTAAGTTATCCAACCTCTCTGTTCTTCACTTCCCTATCTATAAAATGTCATGCCCACTTCATAGCACTGGTGTGAGGAAAAAGGATCTGTATAAATTAGTTTTACACAGTGCTTGGTAGATGGTAGGCACAAAATTATTGCTGCTGGAAAGCAGTAAGTTCTTGCTTACATCCCCCATTGCCTTTAAGAGCGAGGGAATGTGTGTGTGGGTGTGTGTGCGTGGGTGTGCGTGTAATATTTAGGTTCACAGAAGCATTGCAGAGATAGTGCAGAGTTCCCATACTCTTGCACCTACCTCGCCTGGCCATTCACATCCTACATTAGCGTGGAGCATTTGTTACATTTAATGAGTGAACATGGAGACCTTATTACCTCAAATTGATAGTTTATTCAGTCTTCAGTTTTTTCCTAATGTCCTTTTCCATTCCAGGGTCCCATGCAGGACACTGTTCTGCTTTGTTGTCCTGTCTCCTCCAGCTGTCCCTGATGGGGGCAGCGGCTGAGCTGCTTTTGATTGCATTGAAATGTATTGCTTCTGTGGTGCTGAGGATGGACACCAGGGCCTCACACAAACTAGACAAGTCTCAGACACTGAGTCGTACCTAAAGCCTCAAAAGGAAATCTGATGCAAATCACTGGATCTCTGTTAAAGAATTCTTAGGACAAAAGTTTATTGTGATACTTTGTTCACCCAGCCCTGGAGCTGGGTGTGTTATACTCCTGAGGACCTGACCCCTACTGGGCTCCTGCTCATCTGCAGCTCACTATTCTTTGTGCTGGCCAGGTGAACCCGGCTACCAAGACATGCTGGCCGTATCCTGCCTCACATACTATCCTCCAGCTTCTGGAAAATAACACCTAATCGAAAAAGGCTGGCTGGGTCACCACTGTTGGCAGGCAGTAAGTACATCAGGAGTATGAGGGGTGGGCAAAAGAGGGTGCTGTGTGTCTTGTCTGAGCGCCCCCAAAACGGCCCCTGCCTGTGCGCTGGAAGTACATCACCTCAGCCTGTGGTTTGTTTCTCTGAACATTAAGAACTCTCACTCTTTCATCTCATGTTTCCTCCTTGACATCAAATGAAAACACATCCGAACACTCAAGGTTGCTGGTGCCAAATCAAAGTCATCAAGCTGCTGCTAGACAGCGAATGACTGAGTGACCAGCTCAGAGGCTGGGGCAACATAGCTTCCCTTTTGAAATTAGCTCTTTTCTAAGAACTGAAAATAAGCAACCTAGGCCATGACTTCACTTTTCTTGGAACTGCTTTACATTACAAAAAAAAAACCCAAAACCCTCATTTAGCTGGTTTTGATTGTCTGAGTTCCCTAACTGTTCCTGTTGCATGTTCTTGTAAAGCAAAAGATTTACTGCAAAATTCTTCAGCATGAGGTGGAGCAGGGGAGGCGATGACTATGTGAAATAATTGTTTGATCTCATGACATTTGTATATGATTTGAGGAGTAAGGAAAAAAAAAAGAACTCGGAAGAGATGTTCTGTTGTAGTATTATCTTTAGATTTCAAGGGCCACAGCCCTGATGTGTGGGCCATTGGAAGAGGTAAAGGCTGGTATTACTGTACCCCAGTCATTGTTGTTATTGTTATGGTTTAAAGTTACTGAGAAGCATTTTGCAAATGAAAGGGGCCAAGATATGGATGGAAGGGAGGAGGACGTGGAGGGAAAAGGAATGAAAACAAAACTAAGCTCTGTACATGTCCCAACTCCCCATGATGAATGCAATCATTACACGGCACACGTGTACTAATAATGTAAGACATTTAGAAACATTGAGAAGCAGCCCATTATAAGGACAAGGCAGGAGGTGCATCTTTAACCATGGTGACTTATCTCTAGCAGATATTTTGGAGCCTGTGCAAAAGAACATCATCGAGCTGTCCCAGCTTGCTCAGGGTAGGGGAGACAGCAGTGGTGTCACACAGGCAGGGCGGTTCCAGTCCACCCTTTCCTGTCTGACCTTGGGTGTGGCGGTCAGTCGGGGAGTGGGAAGAATTTCCCTTTACTGATTGGTTCTTGGGACCTGGATTAGTGGTCCTTTCTGAATGGGAATCTCTGTAGACTGGTACATAAGTTATTCTGAAATTGCCCATTTCTCCCTGTGACATGACTGTCTGCTCTCTGTATCTCTGTCCAGCCTGGGGTTTTGCCTGGAGCAGAGGCAGGCCGTATGTGTTAGGACTGGCTCTTGGGCTGGGAGACAGAGGAATTAGGAAGGCACGATGCTCTCGGATTTACACTTGGCTCACAGCAATTTTCAAATGAAAGGAGCCCTTCATAGGCCTTTGGAATCAAGCGTAGTTTATATGGGGCCTGCGAATGCCCTGACGTACCAAAAGAATACTTGGAAAGACCTACAAGGATGGAGGAAAGGAGTGAAACAACTTTGAGTCTGCAAGAGGAAGAATCTGAAATGATAGTCCCATGAGAATTACTGCATGTCATGTTGATAAAGGATGCAAATGAGAGGGTTTCTGTTTTTGTTTTTGCCAGGGGCTGTGCTGGAAACTTCTACCACATTGCTACATTTATTTCCTTTATCTGGGAGATAGCCATGAAAACCTCAGCCATGGAGATGAAGTCCTTTGGCCCGGAGGATCTAGCCAGCAGGTCACAGGGACAGGCTGAGAAGCAAGAAGGTTGTGTCTTCCCCCTCCTGCTGTTGGGGACCCTCTGTTGGTGGCAGGACCTTCTTTTTTGAGGAGTAGCATTTCTTCAGGGCCTTACTGGGGGCAGATGTCTTTACACATAGGTGCTAGCACCCCCTGCTGGTCAATCGCTGGGCAATTTGACTGGCCTGAGCCCTCGGAAATGGGATGGCAGCCAGTGACCAGAATGAAAAGCCACCAGTGAAGTAAAGAAACTAAATGAGGCCATGGGAAATTTTACAGCCTTCCACCCTGGGAGATTTGCCAGTTGTGGCCAGACCAGTGTAGGGGGTGGGGAGGTGCTGGATTTGGTAACCAGATGAGTTCTTTTTTTTTTTGTCTTTTTTGAGACAGGGTCTCGCTATGCGGTTCAGGCTGGCCTTGAGCTCACTTTGTAGCCCAGGCTGGTCTTGAGCTCGCAACAATCCTCCCACCTTATCCTCCTGAGTGCTGGGATTACAGGTGTGAACCACCACGCCCGGCAACCAGATGAGTTCTTTTGGGCCTGATTTTGAATTCCAACCCTTATTACTTGGCCGATCTTAGATGAGTTACTTCATTTCACTGAGCCTTCTTTCTTAATTTGGAGAGAAGGATGATTGTGGTCAGAGAGGTTCAATAATTTGTTCACGAGGCTGATAACTGGGATCCAGGAAGTCTGGGCAGGTGTTTAAATATGTTTGTTTCATTGGCCTTTCTGTCACCAAGCACGTGCTGAGTACCTGTGTGCTCTAGGGGCCACAGTGAGCAAGATGTGATTGCTTCCTGTACTGCGCCTTATCTTCCCTGACCCCTCATTAAGCCTTATCTCCCTGTGTATACCCTGGCTAATTTCCTCATCTGGAAGCCCTTTAATCACATCTGCAAAGTCACTTTTACTACCAAAATAACATTCACAGATTCCAAGGACTAGAGTGTGAACATCATTCCAGGACAAGGATTTCTGCCCTCCCTGTCAGCCCCAAACTGTCCTCTGTGCAGAGCACATTCATCTCACCCAAGTGCTTCACTGCAACACAGCTTCAGCTCAAAGCTAGCTTTCATCACCTCTGTCCAGCATCGGGAGCTCCAGGTGCATCCATCCTAAGCACAGTTCCCATTCATCCGTGGACCTGGAGAACTCATGAAGCAAGTTACTTCTCCCAAAACAATGGGCAGTGAGTCTAGTTCTCTTTAGATCTGAGGGGGCAAGGCAAGACATGGGCAAGAAAGCTAAGAAAACACAAGCGTGCCTGTAATCTCCGTTAGTCGTGAAGCTGACCCAGGAGAGTGTGAGTTCAAGGCCACCCTGGGCAATTTAGCAAGA